GTGAAAAACTAGGTTTGTAGTGAAACAGTTAATATTTCATGAAAGTAGATATTTTTAGTATTTTTAAAGTACCACACTGTTCCTGGATTTTTAAGGAAAGGCGCGTTACATTTAGTCTTCCTTACAATAAAATCAAGAACTGATTTTTAGAAAGCAGTCCAAAATAGCACAAAACCAGCCAAAGGAGAGCGGATAGAAATCGACACCCCACCTCCCTTGCCCATATTCCTCACCCATCTTCCCCCCTCTCCCTATGCCACTTTGCTTCCTCAGAATGAGAAGTAAGAAGGAGTATAAACTCTGTTCTCATGTGGAGATGTTGTACATCTCTCCCTGCACTGGTGACTGCAGGCAATAGTTCACCCAATACCAGTGCTAATTGAAAACATCTATCCTTTCCAAAGTGAAGGAGAAGTTAACTTTCAGTGTCAACTTTGTCCAGAACTATTTTAAGTAAAATGTTCCTGCTTGATAGAACTGTATTCAGAATTTACTAATGTCAGCATTGATGCAATGGATTTCATTGTCCGGGTACACGGAGAAATGTATCTACCTTATATCCAGCTGTACTGTAGTGCCACCTGCAGGCCTGTTAATATGTTCACGGTTATTTCATTTTTTAAAAAATAAAAGTCATTTACTGTAATAGCCTGAGCAGTTTCTTTCAGACTTGTACCCTCATCGTCCTGCTTCGAGTTTGTGTCAGCCTCTGCTAGTGTCAGCTGCCTGTTAACTTCTTGCCCTGTGTCTGACCAGAAGGCTTGAGTTTTCTACACCTCACGGCCCACATACATGCTGGGAGCATACAAGTGAATTTTGGTTCTCTGAGGTAGTTTGGGTGGAGAATCTATCTTGTCATCTCTTGTGCTGTGCTCCCCACCTCTCACTGTCTTCCTAACAGGCTGGGGCTCAGAGCTGCCCTGTCTACTGGAGATCCAGATGGGGTCGTAAAGGTTCCCTGTTTCTGACCTTGGAGTCGTGATGGCAGCAGCAGTTCTGGTCGCTGATGTGGCATGGTGTCAGCTTCTCAGGTTGGTTACTGCGTGCAAGTAGTTCACGCTCAGACTTTTGCTGCTTTCATACCCTTGCAGCTGTCCTGTGACTACAGGCTAATTCGGGCTGCTACACATGGAAAGGGTTATCCCAGACCCAGAAACCATTCAACTTCACTGTATTCCTGTTATGCAGCATTTCTTGTGCAGTTCTGTTGTGCTCTGTGCATACAACCCATTCTGAATGGTTAATTACAGCTAAGATTATTTGTGTGTGTGTATATATCAGGAATTAGAATTTGGTAAAGACAAAAAAGACAAAGGACCTGGCTATGCATAATCCAATAGCTTCAGTAACTTCCAGTGCAGTGATCTGCACTGAGTTCTGCATCTCATGCTGAAGCTTTGGTTTGAGCATATCAAACATTGTTTCTCTCTCTTGAATTTCCTCTTTTATTAGTCAGAATAGAATCAACCTAAAGCAGTATTTATCCAAAATCAGAGGAATGATCTGCACAAAAATTACAAACTAAAGAAATTTGTAGCAATCCAGATTTTAGACCAAATGAGGACAGGAAGAGTCTGTAAACTGATCTGGCAAACGAGTTCTCGTACCTTAACATTTTAAAACTTTCATTCTTTATCTGGATTGTATGCATTGGGAGACAGAGACTACCACAACTTAACTTTTTTTGATGTTGATTAAAAATGTAACAATGTAGTCTGCAAGGGTAGTCTGCCAGGGTTAATTTTACAACACTTAGATCTCTCGTTTGTTTGTAAACTATGCTGAGGCAACTGAACCAGGCAACGTAAATATGAGAGAAAATAGGTACTTAATACATCAAAGGCTGTGATCCATTTGTTGTTCCGCTGAAAGATTCCAAGACAGCCTCTTATAGAACCTGAGGATGTGAAGTCAGAATTGGAGCAGAAGAGTTAGATGTGAAGCAGTAAGTTGAATTTACCTGCAATACAAATAAGAAGGAAGTTACTGGGCACAGATACTCTTTACAGTTATTGCCCCTGTGTACATACAACGTCTCTCTCCTTCCTCATTTCTGGCAGCCCTTTGATAGTTCTGTAAGTTTCTACAGTTGAGGTATTGGTTGAGCTGTATGACAAGTGCTAGTCGCTTATCATTCATCTTGTGTTATTTTGGTGGAAAAGCACTGAGACTACACAGTGTGTGAGTGAAGTACCGTGTGGAAGCACCAGTGGACAATGCATTTACCGGTTCTGGTTACTGGTAACTAATCTGGTGGTCAACCTCAGTGTTTTCCCAAGCTTATTTCCTGCTTATCTGGGATGCACCAGCCTGCTTGTGGCCACTTCTCAATGTAACTCAGAATTTAACATCAGCCCATAGCTTCTTTTCATCAGTAGAGTCTTGTAAGTTCCCTATTCTCAACCTTGAAAAAGAGCTGCACGCTCCCACCAGGCATTTGAAAAATAGCCAGGCAGAACTCTTCTCACTCTTGTCTCCCACATCCTTCTGCCTTACAAGAGTTTTTGTTACCTCTCTACTTTTATATAGGCTAATACAAAACCGGTAGAGTTTCAAAAGCTGGATGTAACAAGAGACAGATGCTTCCCCTAGAAAGAGCCCTTCTAACTTAAACAGCTTTCAATCACAAAGCACAACAGGTAAAGAAGGGAAAAGTTCTCAGAAGAATTTCCAATTCTAAGGTCCCTCAGTGTCAGTTTATACTATCAGCTCGCACTTCTGTGTTTTCCTTACACCTTCCAGCATTTGGTACTCCTCCATTACAACCTGCACCTTTAAGCTTCAGAGAGAGAGTTCCCACTGTGTTCTTCCACTTCATCTTTCTTCATGAGACCCTTATTTATTCTGTTAAACTTGACCGGAGGCACTTTGTATTCTTCAGCCCTGACTAATTGCTGTTCCTTTTCATTACAGCAGCATCTGCCTGAACTTCAGTTTCAGCAGGATCTCAGATCTGACCTGGCATTGTTTTAAATGTAGTTTTGCTTAAGCTGCTCTACTCAAGGAATGGTTCATTTGATTCCTACGCCTTATTGTTTAGACCATACTAGATTGATAGGTCTTTGGTCACCTGTTTTAATCATTTGTAGAACACAAATTTGTCATGAGTTATTTCAGCAATAGCACACCTTCTGGAAAAATACACAGCCTTAATCTGTAAACAATCAGTGAGCTGTTTTCCTGGGTAGGTCTTATGGTCTTAATTACACAGCAATATACAATATTACTGATAGCTTCATATAAAGAATACTGCTAATCATTCTATTTTAATTTGACCTGCAGCTGGCTTTTGTTCCAAAAATAGCCCTTCAGTACCAGTAGTACTTCCTTGTGGGAAAGTAAGTTAATGAACTAATTTCTTATTATTCTTTATGGAAAGAAATTGAGCTGCTTATTGCTAATTGAATTGCTAGTTTAAAATATAGTTCCTGAGGTTGCTCTAAAGCTCAGTGTGCCATGTAGCAATGAGCTGCCACGTCAGACATTCCCAAGACCACCTGCTTTACTAATGTTCATATTCTGTTGTTCTTAACACAGTTTATTTATAATGCACTGTAAGTCTTCCTACTGCTCCTTGGCACATTGAACAGTTTAAAAAGGTAAGGCACATTTTATTTAGGTGCCACTTACCCATGGTGCAGTTATTTAGCCCTCCCACACTCTTAACATATTTTACTCACCAGGTGTCTGAATTTTCTTTCTTCTGTTTGCATCTTTCACTCACCTGAGTATGAACCCATTACTTAAGTAACAGAGCTGTTGCCATGCAATTCTCTGATATGAAACCGGTGCAATTAGAAATAGACTTATTTTGGTGAAAGTTATGCATGTTGGAGTTACTTGGAGGTGAGAGCAGATTCCTTTTATTGTTTATAATTCAGTTGCACTATCAATGGTGTAAATTGTACAGCCCCTTTAGCAATCATTTTGTGGCCATTCATATCCAAAAGCAGACTATGACAAAATGTTCTTTGTCACTGCCTGTAGAGACATTTGTTTTCTCAACTCTTACATGTAATGGAGAGTTGCTAATATTTTGTATTTTCATCATTGCTCATTATACTAAAGTTCATGCACTCATAAGATTCTTCCCTGAGCAGCTCATTGTTTTTGCTCTTACCCTTTCTTTGGTCTCTTTTCATACAGACTATTTGGCAAGTGATGAGACTTTGCCATAGTGCCTTCTTTCAGGGTTGTTTGGTTTTTGGTTTTTTTGTTAGCAGAGGAACTACAATAGCAGCAAATAATTTTATTATTTTTTTTAATTAAAAGCCACCTTATATAGTGATCATCATCTTCAGGAATCTGTGTACAGGGCCTGCTCCATCGACTGTAATGCACATACAGGCTACGGGGGTGGGAAGCAGAAGCAGCCCATTCGTTAGCTGTGGCACTGCCTGAGGACGGGGATTCTGATCGAGTTGTTGAAATGTAACAATTTCTGGTCCTCCGGTATGCTAAAGCATGCGCATTCCAACCCCCCAACGAGGGGGTTTTACACCCCTTTCCCCGTTCAGCCTTGTCTGTGTAGTTATCTTTGGTCTCTCTGCTGGGCTTTCCAAGAACAAGAGCACTAGACAGCAGCTGAATGATCGTGGAAACTACGAATAACAGCCTTCATCCCTCCGGTCTGGTAGCGAGTTAGTTTTGTTTTACGTCCGGCTTTCGTTGGAAGCCGTGGGCCTTTAAAATGCTTTTAAGCTTAACTGCTGTTGCCTCGAGTTGCCCAGAGGAGGCGCCTTTACAGAAGATGGCTTCTCCCATCCTGGTCTCTATTGCTCTGTCTCCGAGCCCCCCCGGGTCTTAGTTCAGCGCTTTCCCCTCGGTAACTCTCTCACGCAGTGCATACTGCTTCTGCCACCGCTCCCGCAGCTCCTGTCCCTGCCCTCCCCGGGCCTGCTGCCGGGGCTCGGCCGCCGCCGCTCGCGCTCCCCACGGCCCCGCCTGCGCGGGAGGGGGGGGGAGCCGAGCACCGGGGGCTCCGCAGAGGCGCGGGGCGGGATGCGGGAAGCGTTCGTCCTCCGCCACGCCGGCTCCGCCCCTTCAGGCACCCAGGGAGGGGCTGCGCCTGCTGCAGGACCCTGCCAGTCAGGAGCCGCTTCCCGCCGCCGCCGACACCGCCATGGTCTCCTGGATCATCTCCCGCCTCGTGGTGTGAGTGCGGGCGGCCGCGGCCGAGGGGTGTGCGGGGCGCCTGGGGGATGCGGCGGTGCAGCTGAGGGGCGGGCGGCTGCGGCGGCCCGCGCCGGGTGCGCGCCCCAAGGGCGGTGTTGCGGAGGGGGAGAAGGAGCCCCGCCTTGGGGGAGTCGCGGGGCAGCCGCGTCCTGCCGGGAGTGGCCGGGGCCTGTTCCCGGTTGCGGCAGGTGGCGGTCTGGGTGCTGAGCGGTCCGTTCTTCTCGCAGGTTGATCTTCGGCACCCTCTACCCCGCGTACTCCTCCTATAAGGCCGTGAAGACGAAGAACGTGAAGGAATATGTGAGTTGGAGCTGGCCGCGGCGGCGCAGCGCCCTCCCGCCCCTCGTGGCAGGTCCGGGCTGCCCCGGGGGCTTCGGCCCTGCAGCACGGCTGCGCGGGCAGCAGCCTCGGCACTCGGGAGAAGTTGGCGGGGAAGGGCGCGTACGAAGGCCGGAGGAAAGGGAGATGTGTTTTTTCTCGAGGGATGCTGAGTGAGGAGGGGAGCTGGGCGGGAACGCTGCGCAGTGCCCGCAGGTGGAAGTCCAGGGCGGATTCGTTTTTCTCGCTTCGTCCTTACTCTGTGTCCGTTTACAGCTTTTTCAGTAGAACTTCTGTTGTCTTCCGAAAAGCTGAGTAATCCTGTTTGGTTTGTGTCTCCCTGTCAGCCTTGCTTGTAATCAGTGTTCTCTGTTAGTCAAGGCCTTATCTTCCTCCCGTTCTGGAATCGGTTTTACCTTTACTGTCTTACATCATCATTACAGTTACCGCATTTAAAACACCAGTTGGTTTTTAGGGATGTGATGTGTCATCTTCTTATAGAAGGGGTATTTGAAGTTGATCAGTGGAGATAAGAGCTGTTTGGTTTATGGGTGGGATGAGTTTCTGTTATCTAGAGCAAGAAGAAACCTGATGGAGAAGAAAGGTAAGGGGGTGAATAGCACATAATTTGTCAACATTGCTTTGTGGTGCAGTCTGAGACTTCTCATCCCTCTCAGTCTGATTGCTCCTTTAGAAATGACACGTCACCTATAAATATTGCAGGATCCTTTTCTGTCTCGTGCTTCTGGCCTCTAGAATTGCCTAGACCTTTCCCATGTGCTGGCTTAAATTTCAGCCTACTGGTTTTTGAAGAAGATGCCAGCTGAGGTGAGAGTCTGGCTGAAGTATTTTGGGGTTTGCTCTTGGGTTTTGAGAGGTTTTTATACTAGTCTCAGTAGAGAAGTCAAAATGCGAATGTCCATGAAGTAACTGGTACAGTGTTTTGAGTGAGTATTAGAGGTACAGTCAGAAATATGAAGTCTTACTAAATGTTGAAATTATGACATTAGAAACTGAAAAGAAAGTATAAAAGAAACTGCCTGAATAATTGCATGATCCTGTGACTTCATAGTTATCTTTGAAGTTACGTATGAAATAGTATTGTGTACTGTATTCTTTGGTCTTCCTCTCCTCTCTCCTTCCTGTTGCCTGTAACCTTCATTTATTGCATGAAGTGCGTATTTTTTTTACCCAGAATTTTATTCTGGTTCGTGAGTGTCATGGAATGGTTGTGTTCCAGCCGCAGAATCTGTGCTGACTTTAAGACAGACTCAGATTGCAGAATCTAAAATTTTTCTGTTGAGAACTTGAGGGAAAAAAAAAGAAATTTTTATTATTTTTTTTTTAACTCCAGAGTTTGCTTGTTCTGGAGCTCAAAAGACCTGCTAAATATGGAGCCTTTGAACGTGTGGGTATTCTTCACAGCAAAAACTTGAGTCTTTTCTGTGGGTAGGTTAGCTGTGGAGGTAGGTAAATGCTGTGTTTCCTTGCAGAATCTGATTTTCTTTTGGTAGCTGTTATCTAAATTACTGTAAGACTCTCTAATCTTACAGCAAAAAAAGAAATAAGACACAGTACTTGAGTATCATAAAGTTATCTTAATAATATCAGTTAATCATCTGGTTGTGAGCCCACTAGGGCTGATGTGGAGAAGTATGGCATTCATTTTGGGGTTCTGTTTAACACTTAATTGAGATTGTTTTCCTGAAGTACATAGTTCTGCATTGCTACAGCAGAACATTCTCTCTTGTTTTTAGTTTCAGTGAAAATACTGGAGTTGGCTCAAGGAAATGTATTTAAACCTCTTAAATCTGATTTTATAATATAAATTATTTCTCTTTGAGAGGACTGTATCAGAAGTAAGCATTTAGGTATTGGACTGATATTTGCGTAGGTCATTTATGGTTGGAGGGCTTCTTCCTTCTCAACGTAAGATGGGGGAAAACTGAGCTTATTTGGAAGACAGGAGAAGGGGCTGTTCTGTTCAAACTATTCTTCATGTGGAAAACTTGAATGATGTGCTCTGCATTTTCAGAGCCAGCTGTGTCTGTGTAATACTATTTGCTTGTAGTGCTTAAGAACCAATATTGGTGGGGGAGAAAGATCTTACAGGTGTATCTGTGCTAGAGTGTGTGTATTGAAGGTTGAGTTGACGCAGACCAAGCTACCACAGTCAGTCCATCAGTGGCATCAGAGTATGGTGCAAGCTTTCTCTTTCCCCCAGCCATGATACAAATTTGAGAAATCCTTGAGCACCTATGACAGATTGCTCCTAGTAGCTCAGAGTAGTTTAAAAGTAATTTCTTTTTATGTGTCATCTTCACCTTTGGTCAAGTCTACCTTCCAATTATGCTTATGCATTTACTGAATTTGTTTTTATTCTTTGTGCAACTTGGGAGACTCTGGGCAGTTACCTGAAATTGGTGGTCATCAGCTTGAGCAGTAAGACGTGACTCCTTTTAATGGACTGAAGAAAAACATGGCCTGGTTTGACCCTCAGGTTTTGAACATGTTTGTAATCTGTGACTTAACAAACGTCGTAAAATGTTCTTCTAGTTTCTGGTCATCTGCACTTCAGGGACTTCTAGAGCTAGAAGTTGAATCCTTCTAGTTTATTTAAGAGCTATATTTCTTTTTGTCTTTAACTGCAGGGCATAGGATGAAGGGTGACAGGAGGAGACAGAGACCTTTGCCTACTATCAAAGATGTGAACACAGAGTATTTAAATAGTAACAAAGCAATGTTTTTTGTTCTTTTCTGTTCCTCTTCTGATACTTCTAGCATACTGTTAGCAGAACGAAAATGTATGATGAGCACTGAGCTTACGGTTTCATCAGGCTGTCTACAGTGACCACTTCTGAGTGGCATGAGCTAATTTATGTTACCACAATAGTTTTCACTTAAGAAAAAGCAGGTAGCCTAATTCATTACCTGGTATTTAATGATATTTAGTGACAAAATGTCAACTGGAGATTCATCAGTATCCGTTTCTGAATTCTTGAATCAACTCATACCTAATCCTCTATGTAGGAAAGTATCTTCTGTACGTTTTGTCATCTTACTGTTCACAACCTTTTCCAGATCTTTCAAGAAGATGTGCAGCACGGATCTCAACACTGATTCATGTGTGATCCCACTGGTAACCTTCCTTGTTGTGAAGACAGGCAGTTTATTTTACCCTCTCTTTCCTCTCTTAACTAGTTGTTAATCCTCAAGAGTCCGTTCATTTTTATCCTTGACAATTTACCTTTGAGAGTTTATTCAGGCCTGTCAGAAAGTTTGTAGAAACGTATCCTGCCTGTGAGGGAAGTGCTGTAGCAAGAGCTATGGAAAACTGCAAAGAATTTCACTACATTTGAGAATATTATTTTTTTTCTGCAAAAACATATTCCTCATTATATAGAACCATAGAACAGTTAGGGTTGGAAAGGACCTTAAGAGCATCTTGTTCCAACCCCCCCTGCCATGGGCAGGGATATCTCACACTGAACCGTGCCACCCAAAGCTCTGTCCAGCCTGGCCTTGGACACCACCAGGGATGGAGCATTCACAACCTCCCTGGGCAACCCATTCCAGTGCCTCACCACCCTAACAGGAAAGAATTTCTTCCTTATATTCAATTTAAACTTCCCCTGTTTAAGTTTTAACCCGTTACCCCTTGTCCTATCACTACAGTCCCTAATGAAGAGTCCACCCCCTATAGGCCCCCTTCAGATACTGGAAGAGGCTGCACTGAGGTCTCCACACAGCCTTCTGTTCTCCAGGCTGAACAGCCCCAACTTTCTCAGCCCATCTTCATGCGGGAGGTGCTCCAGTCCCCTGATCATCCTTGTGGCCTCCTCTGGACTTGTTCCAACAGTTCCTTGTCCTTTTTATGCTGAGGACACCAGAACTGCACACAATGCTCCAGGTGAGGTCTCACGAGAGCAGAGGGGTAGGATCGCCTCCTTTGACCTGCTGGTCACACTCCTTTTGATGCAGCCCAGAATACGGTTGCTCTCTGGGCTGCAAGCTCACACTGGAGCTGGCTCGTGTTCATTTTCTCATCAACAAACACCCCCAAGCGCTTCTCCGCAGGGCTGCTCTGAATCTCTTCTTTGCCCAACCTGTAGCTGTGCCTGGGATTGCTCCGACCCAGGTATATGACCTTGCACTCCTATAGTGCAAAATGATGTATGCTATTCGTTTTTATTACTGCCTTCATTTTGCCTAATATTGAAGTAAGATTTACTGCTATGTAGCTTCTCTGAAACCTCTTGCCCATTGGGATCCCTGTTTGCCACCTTTGCTTTATTATTCTTCACACACTTTTTCATACAAGAGCTGATTTACATTGCTGAATTGAAGAGTTAAACATTTATTTAATAGAGTTGCTTTAGAAGTTGAGTGAATGATGCCTGGTCCTGTCCAAACTGATCATACAAGGGAAAAACTAAAGGTGGGAGAGCACCATAAAATACAAGTTTTGCTACTTTCTGTTGTGAAAAAATGCATAGTAAAGTGGAAATAATTTGGACTACTAATCACTTTCTTCAGAACCATCCACTGCATTAGAGGGGTTGGATGCAGTATAATTTTGTGGGGTTTTTTGTTTTTTGGGGGGGGGAGGGTTGGTAAGGAAGTTTTGGAAGGTCTTTCAAGAACAGATCACTAAATTCCCTGACACATACAAGTTTGGGGAGATAACTGCTTTTATAACTTCATTTGCTGTAACAAAGACTGTCACTAAACTGTTCATGTAATTTTAATACATGGATTAATGTGTGGCTTTAATATGTGGAATTTCTTTGATTCAGTTTACTTTTTGTGCCTATTCTTGATGACGCTAAAAGTGCTAAGTTGATTTTAGCAAAGGTGACCTCTTCTTTCCGTTTATCTGCTACTTATTTTTACTTTTTAACAGCATAGAAAACTGTCAGTTTCCCACATAAGATATCGATTCTTCTACTATTAGACATTTTTGGGTAGCAGTTTTTATAATTCAGCTGATTCAGAGACTTGCTACTAAAACAGGATAGGGGAGAGTGTGTGTGTTAATGGGGGATTATTTTGTGTTTGCTTTGAAAGAAATACTTACTGCTTGGAAGAAAGGTGTGAGAAAGTAGGGAGATAGATGACAGGCATACAGATGTACCATCACAGCACAAAGTAGACCTTAAACAGGAAGATGAGTTTGTGGCATGCTTTTTGCTTTCTTGATGAGCCTTTATTTAAAAAGAAAATAAAAATGCTCATGTAATTTCTGGGCATAATGATTAAGGCAAATAATGCTTACTAATAAGAGTGAAGTCCTGTATCTTTTGGTTTTGTGGTTTGGAAAATACAGGGCTACAGTTTAAACTTGTGTATGTATGTATTTATTACAATAATGATGATATGTGAAAGAATATAACTTCTTGAAGTGAACTGCTTACTCTTTAGATAGCTTATTTGGGGTTTTTGCACAGTTGCTCATGATTCTGCAGTAGGGTATGCATTAATCAGTGTACCTGTATGCATTTATCTAGTTAGAGCACATCAATACCACATGTTTTCCCAAACTATAATGTACCATTAAGTATGGACCCTCCTCCATTATTGATAATATATGCCCTTCCTGTTGTGGAATTCATCGTCACGTGTGGAGATGGTGAGTCATTTTTACGGAGAAGACATTTTGCCTTTTTCTGGGTTCTGATGGATGTGTATTGAGTGGCTGCTCTTTTGCAGGTGAAGTGGATGATGTACTGGATTGTGTTTGCCTTTTTTACCACTGCAGAAACACTTACAGACATTGTTCTTTCTTGGTGAGTTCCTTGGCAGTATGGGATTGGGGGGTGGGGGGGGGTTGGGTTTTCTTTGTTTGAGGTTTGTTTGATTGCTTTTTAAAGAAGGGAGGAGTAGTGTTAGGTTGCTAAGAATGAACTGTCTCTTTAGGCATTTTCAGTCCCTATGAAGAGTCTGCAGGCTTGTAGATACTGTGGGTAGTAGTTGCTGTCTTACCTTTCTTTTGTACTTGCAAACAGTTGGAATAAATGCGCAGTGTCTGTAAGAGGATCTTCGTAATATCATTTTTCAGAGACTTAATTGGAACTGGTGAAGTTTGAGAAACGGAGGTACAAAAGACACTTAAAAAAAAACAGATGGTAGAAGGAAGGGCCCTGTTTTGCTTTGCCAGCCCCTTGTATGGAGGAGCAGATAAAATGCACCTCTGTGCTCTGAGAGGTGTTTTCCATGATTAAATTCTCTTCTACTAGTGGGGGTGGGGTGGAGTTGTGGGAAGCAAGCTCTTTCTCCTTGCAGTGCTGTGTTTTGTGCTTGGCAATATGGACGCCTCCAAAAATGACAAATCACCATTACGTGTCTTCAACTGAACCTTCGAAACAAGCATTTTCAGTTTCTTGATTTGCTTTAGTGTTTGAGCTTTGTGTACATCTCTGAAAGAATACTAGTCAAGAGTTGTATCTCTTAAAGAAACATGAAGTGGCCGCATATGCCTCACAAAAGCACTCATCAGTTTTGCCTCTTCCTGCATAAACTTTCAAAGGCAAAGATCTAAAAAGAACAAGAGCTTTGGCTTGTTCATGTGCTTAAAATGGACTACTGAAACCAGAAGTCTCTCACTACTGACAGAGAAAGAAAGTTTTCGTTTACTGGTTTCAATCTTTGCTCCTGTTTCTTCTCAGAAACTTTATTGGGTGAGGGTTAGAGATGAGATGTCCATGCTGCCAGCTCTTTTCTATTTACACTGGTCCTCCTGTAGAGTGTTATCTGTGGAGTACCTCCTGGAAGCTTCAGGAACTGAACCACCAGCCTTAGCAGGAACTTCAGATTTCTTTTTCTCCATTTGAAAAAAGGAGGTCATAGTTGAAAACTTTGGAAAATGAGATGTAAAGTAATGCAGTGTTAATAGCCAGGGGATATTCTCTGAACGAACTTCAGAATGATGAGAGTAGCTATCAGACTGTAATTTGGTGTGTTTGCAGGGCTGAGAGATGCCCTGTTTATGGAGTTTTCATGGCTATGGATGAAAGACTAAGTGAGACTCGGAGCAGGTATGTTTTAGGATTCCAAGAGGGTTCTGCTATTATGACCTGATATATTGATTCTTTTGTTTCTGAGCCGTTATATCTTGTCTTTGTTCTTTCTGCCTGTACTGCTTTCTGCCAGTTGTTTCCATCTGTCTCTGTGCTAATCTTGATACCAGTTCTCCATCTTTCTTTCTGTCTTGCTCTTCCTCCCCCCACCCCTTTCTCTCAGGTTTCCCTTTTATTTCGAGCTGAAAATCGCATTTGTCATTTGGCTGCTCTCCCCTTACACCAAGGGCTCCAGTGTCCTCTACAGGAAGTTTGTGCACCCAACGCTCTCCAATAAGGAGAAGGTACTCACTTGTTAGAAGATACTGACCTGTCTGGGAGTTGACCGACTTTTGATTCAGTTATGCTGCAATAAAACTGAAATGCAGGAATCGTGCTTATGCTGACATTAATCGATGTAGAATGATTCTCTCTCTGACAACAGTGGCATCCTGCAGCTTACTGAAAATTGTAATGTAGCCAGTAGTTTGCCTAGTGCTTAGAAAGCATGTTTGACTAACGCAGTGTCATGAGCCCTTATTGTCAGTAGTTAAGCTCTTTGAATTACAATATGAGCAGCATGTTCTGTAGTTATACTGTTTTTTCACATTGTCAGTTTAAGCAGCTCCTTTGTTTTGGTTGTTACAATTTGGAAATAGCATACTTTGAGGAAAAGTTGCATTTGCAAGCTTTCTGTAAGTAGCAGAGAAGCTTCAGTTATGTGATCAATGACAGCTGTTGACAGTAGTCTGGAAGAAAAGTGTCCAGATGAGCTTTGGGGCTTTAAGGGTGATGGTGGGGGAACTTTGATTATGTTTGTAACAAGCAGCTAAATGCCATGTTCCACATTACCTTCCTAGGAAATCGATGAATACATTACTCAGGCTCGTGACAAGAGCTATGAAACCATGATGCGAGTTGGCAAGAGAGGGTTAAACCTTGCTGCCAATGCAGCAGTTACTGCAGCTGCAAAGGTAATACCACACCTTCTGTAACATTCAGGAATCCCCCAGAAGTTTAGTTTTGTGTGCCAGCAATTAGTAGTATGAGTTTGTTAGGGATGCTGGTACTTGTGGACACCAATCTACTTTTCGTTTCCTCCAGTTTGCCTTGTAATTAATTCCATCATTTGCCTTAAGAAAAGTGAGAAAGAGTGGAATGGATTTTGCTTTAACCTCTTTTCTTTTGGTCTTGGGAGCATACTTTCTTTTTCCCTTTTCTGTTTTCCCAGAGTACCCTATTGGGGAATAGGACACCTTTTCTCTTCTTCTGAATGATCCCATGTGAGATGATCTTGGTGAAGGCGAAGTGCCCTTGACCCTTACTATTTTGCCATCTTAGGGCCAGGGAGTTTTGTCTGAGAAGCTGCGAAGTTTCAGCATGCAGGATCTCACCCTTATCCGGGATGAAGATACCGTGCACCTGCGAAGCCGGGAGCCACAGCTGCACCCATCTGGTGGGAGTCTTCTTGAAACCATTGAGGATTCAGGTACAGAACACTCCTGGGTTCAGGAGTAAAAGTAATTTTTTATCCTTCTTAGTAGCTGGTGCAGTGCTGTGTTTTTGACTTTCAGCCTGGGAACAGCACTGATAACGCCAATGTTTTTAGTTGTTGCTAAGTAATGTTTACTCTGACCAAGGACTTTTCTCAGTCTCATGCTCTGCCAGGGAGGAGGGGAAATCAGGAGGAAGCATGGACAGGACACTTGACCCAAACTAACCAAAGGGGTATTCCACACCACAGCATGTCATGCCCACTATATAAACTGGGGGGAATTACCTGGAAGGCCAGATGGCTGCTCAGATCAGGCTGGGTATCAGTTGGAGAGTGGTGAGCGGTTGTATTCTCTTCCCTTGTTATTTCCCTTATCATTATTATTATTGGTGGCAGCAGCAGTGATTTGTGTTATACCTTAGTTACTGGACCGCTCTTATCTCAACCGGTGGGGGTTACATTCTTTCCATTCTCCTCCCCCTCACCCCCTAACCCCCCCCCCCCCCGATCTAGAAGTTGGGGGAGGAAGGGGGTGGGGAGTGACAAGTGGGTGGGCAGTTCTGAGTTACTGCCTGGGCTTAAACCATGACAGGCATCCCTGCTAGGCTATCTGCTAACACATCTCTACTTTTTGGATTATCCTTGTTCAGGATTGTTGACACCTCCCTTTCATGTGGTCCTTCGGGATGGGCCATTTTAGACTTTATGTGATTTTTCAAAAGTATTTACTAAAACCTTCTCTCTTATTCCTTAGCTTCCTGTTACTCCTCAGGAGAGGAGAGCAGTATGGCACAGAGGTCTAATGGAACCCCACTGGAGACTAGAACAGACCCATCAGATGAAGATGCAGGGGATAAACTTCCTAAACGTACCCAGAGTCTCAAAACTCCTAAGAAGATGACGAAAGCTGAGGTAAGCTGGTGGGTAAATTATTCCTAGTACATATGTTGATTTGTGAGGTTTGTTGGAAGGCTCTGGCTTCATAGTCTCACTGCATTTAAAAGCTGTTTACATGCAAGGTCCTACGCCTGGGTTGGGGCAGTCCCAGGCACAGCTACAGGTTGGGCAAAGAAGAGATTCAGAGCAGCCTTGCGGAGAAGGACTTGGGGGTGTTCATCAATGAGAAAATGAACACGAGCCGGCTTCAGTGTGCGCTTGCAGCCCAGAAAGCAACCATATTCTGGGCTGCATCAAAAGGAGTGTGACAAGCAGGTCGAAGGAGGTGATCCTGCCCCTTTGCTCTCGTGAGACCTCACCTGGAGCATTGTGTGCAGTTCTGGTGTCCTCAGCATAGAAAGGACATGGAACTGTTGGAACAAGTCCAGAGGAGGCCACAAGGATGATCAGGGGACTGAAGCACCTCCCGCATGAAGATGGGCTGAGAAAGTTGGGGCTGTTCAGCCTGGAGAACAGAAGGCTGCGTGGAGACCTCATAGCAGCCTCTTCCAGTATCTGAAGGGGGCCTATAGGGATGCTGGGGATGACTCTTCATTAGGGACTGTAGTGATAGGACAAGGGGTAACGGGTTAAAACTTAAACAGGGGAAGTTTAAATTGAGTATAAGGAAGAAATTCTTTCCTGTTAGGGTGGTGAGGCACTGGAATGAGTTGCCCAGGGAGTGCAAAGTATCCCTGCCTATGGCAGGGGGGTTGGAACTTGGTGATCTTAAGGTCCTTTCCAACCCTAACTATTCTATGATTCTAAGTTTGTTGGACTCAGTCTTTGCTAGTTAAATCCTACACCAGAGGACTTGCCGTCTACTTGCTATAGTAGTCTCTAGCTTCTGTATTTTTATGAGGCCTGTATGCCTGTGTCATAGGCTAGGTCCTCACTTCTCTTTCATTCAGGTTTGTGTTGAAGGGTGGGAGCATTAGATATTTTTAACATGTTGTGTTTACTGTATTTTCTTTCCTGTCTGTTACAGTCTGAATATATAATACTACTGTGACATTTATCCCTGGGACAGCTCTTTCTTCTCATCTAAAATACATTAGTTCTGTACCTAGAACTAATGTTAGGCCTTCCTGCATATTAGATACGGGGAAAATGTCATTTCCCCCTCCACAACACTCCGCACACCCATCCTGCTCCTTGCCCACTGTGGGGGTTTTGTGTAGAAGTTCGGGTAACCAGTCATTGTTGATGTCTCCACTGTATGCCATGGGTTGATCCAGGATACTTACAGCCATTCAGATGGGGCATGAGTTGCCTGTATTCTTATTATTAAACAAACCATATAGGAAAATAAAGGCAGCTGTGTACAAGAGTCATTTTAGCTTAACAGTCTTTTGAGGTGCTTCTTTCCAGGTTTTGACTTATACTTGAATGTTTCTTGTTGTTTGATTTGCACATGATAAAATGGGTGTCCCTTTTTGTGCAGTGTGATCTTGTTTGCTTGATTCATCTCAGGCTCACATTGTTGAGCTTTTCAGGCTAAATATTAAATTATTTGGAGGAAGGTAATTGCTTAGAGCATCATTTTTAGTTGTACTGTTAATCTCATCTTAGAGTGTACAGGAAACTTGCATATGGTTAAGTACTGTTTATAACAGAATCACAGAATAGCTGAGGTCAGAGGGGACCTTTGAAGATCATCTGGTCCAACTCCACTGCTCAAGCAAGGCTATCTAGAGCCTGTTTCGCAGGACCATGTTCAAATGGCTTTTGAATATCTTCAAAGATGGACATGTACATCTAAAGATGTATTTAAGATCAGCCTGAATCTTTTTTTTAATGCCTAAGGCTTACTTCTGAGTTGACCCCTCTTCTTTCTTCTTTAGCATATTAGACTATATGTGAAAACAAGAGCAATGACATTTGATTCTAAGCTTTCCTAGGGAGAAATTTTTAAAGTGAAATCATGGAAAGAGAGTAACGACTCTTCAGTGCTGTTCATTCTGAATACAGAAATTCCAGTAAAGCCCTTTTGCAGGCGTATTGGGACTTACGCTTGGTCTGTTTGGCTCTCTAGTTCAAATGCAGGAATTGTAAGAGGTCTTGAACTGAGATGTCTGAAATTACCCAGGAGGTCTGAATTCATTACAGATCATAAATGCCATCTTCTTGCCAATATGTAGAATGAATGACACTGGACTAAAGTGTGCAAACCAGTTTAAGATATTTCTACATCTTTCGGATAATAGTCTTTGGGATTGCAGTCAAGAAGAACAAAAGTTATAACAGTGAAGTGTTATGTGAATGGTACCAGTTAGAAATATCACTATGTCTAATCTTTTGCCAAGACAGCTGACTTCAGTTTTATTATCATACTTGCCCAGTTTTAGAGTGTCTTCCTCTTCTGGTTGCTCTTTGACGGATATGCTCAGACTGATCTGGTTACTAAAAAAACCAAAATGAATGGTTAAAGAGCTTTTCTGAAAAAACAGATAACATGAATTTTCATCTTCGACATCTTTATCAGCAACATGGGCAGTGGGATTGAGGGCACCCTCAGGAAGTTTGCTAGTGACACCAACTTGTGAGGTGCAGTTGACATGCTGGAGGGACAGGATGCCATCCGGAGGGACCTGGAGAGGTTGGACAGTGTGAACCTCATGAAATTCAACAAATGCAAGGTCCTGCACCTGGGTCAGGGCAATTCCAGCAGAAATACAGGCTTAGTGGAGAATAGATGGAGCAGCCCTGAGGAAGACTTTGCCATGTTGATAAATGAGAAGCTACCCATGACCCAACTTCAGCGTGCACTTGAGCCCAGAACCCCCCTGTGTGCTGGGCTGCATCCCCAGAGCATGAGCAGCAGCTCTGGGGCAGCAGCACAAGAGGGACATGGAGCTGTTGGAGCGAGGCCAGAGGAGGCCATGGAAATGCTGCAAGGGCTGGAGCAGCTCTGCTCTGGAGCCAGGCTGAGAGAGGTGGGTTGGGTCAGCCGGGAGAAGAGAAGGCTCCTGAAGGAGAGACCTGAGAGCAGCTCCAGTGCATAAAGGGGCTGCAGGAAAGCTGGAGAGGGGCTTGGGACAAGGGCCTGTAGGGACAGGCCAAGGGGAGTGGCTTGAACCTGCCAGAGGGGAGACTGAGCTGAGCTCTTAGGCAGAAGCTCTTCCCTGTGAGAGTGCTGAGGCGCTGGCACAGGGTGCCCAGAGAAGCTGTGGCTGCCCCATCCCTGGCAGTGCTCAAGGCCAGGTTGGACACAGAGGCTTGGAGCAAGCTGCTCTAGTGGAAGGTGTCCCTGCCTGTGGCAGGGGTTGGAACTGGATGAACTCTAAGGTCCCTTCCAACCCAAACCAATCTGCGAGTCTGTGAATAGGGTCATCATATTATAGTTGTTTTGTCCTCTGTTTCACTCTGCATTCTTGTATCTTTCTATTAGACATTTAGGTGTTAAACTAACCCAAGATGCCTCTTTTTCTTTCTCCTCAGCTTCCAGTAAGAAGTGTCAAAGCCCGTCCCAAGAAGAAAGCTGCAGGCTCTCTTGCTTCTGTTGAGTCATCCTAAGACAGCCTCCCCTTCCCCAGCACCTGTCTCTGTCCTGGGATTTACCTGTCACTTGAGGGGAAATTCTCCAAAGGAAGGGAGCTGAGATTCATGTACATAACAGATACTGCTTTGTAGAGCTCATTCTGAGGCAAGGGGGAGGTTGGGATTCAGAACATGGAGTAGAGGATACACATCCTCAGGAATTTTCTCCTTTTCATCTCTCTGTTGGAGGGAATGTTGATACGTCTGTACATAGCCTGTTGCTTTGGAATTCTCACTGTATAAACCTAGTTGAGGAGAGTCTTTGCTGGGAGAACTGACTAGGCTTAGAGACATCCATTGCACAGAAGCTGGAAAAATATTAGACACTGGAGTTCCACAGGGGTGAGTGGCTCCCTAAAATGTCTTGTCTTGCTCTGGGTATTCTTCTGCAGATGTGTGTTGTGAAGAAGTGCCCACAATGAATCATCCTCCTTAAGAATGGACTGAAACCAATCATGGCCATCCCCTTTGAGAAAGTGACTGAAATGATGTATGCTGAGTGCTTTTGAATCTAATGGACTGGCTCATGGGAGGAGTATGCTAGATACACATTACTAGTACTGGAAGGTGAAGAGATTGGTTTTGATTTTTTTCTGGAAGGTGAAGGGAGATAATTGAAAAACTGAGTAATGAAGAAAACGTGCTCTTAAATGCACCTGTGGTGAAGTAGATACTGTAACTGTAGTTACAGTAGTAACTGTAACAGTTAACTATTGAGAAAGAAAGTTGGGCATTCATAAGATTTCAGCTCTTTTTGAAGCTGCTTGAATTTTATTTCAGGTTCTGTTGTTCATTTTGATTCCTGTGATACCATCAGTGTGAGGCGAGTCCCATGTGGTGGGAGAAGTTGGCAGGGAGACCGTTGCTTTGCCATTGAGCGATTGAACTCCATGTCATCCTGATGCTCGTTACTTCAGACAGTTTTTTCATTCTGGCAGATGACTGGGGAAAATCTCAATGTAGTCTGCAGGCATGTTGAGAATTTCAGGAGCCCTTATCCTCTGTACTGGATTTAGGAAATCCAGTCATCAGTGTATGAGAACTAATAAATAGCTGATGTATGAATTTTGCTGATTTCGGGATTCCTTTTATGGGGGGTAAAAAGCAAGGAGTAAGGAACATTAGTGATTAATGAGTCCTCTTGCTTTATCCTACTGCAGCCCTTGAATCAGTTTTCTTTGTTTCTTTGATAAACATGTGCCATGTTTATCAGTGTCCTAAGACTTGAGCAGTATGTAACACTTGGGACAGAACTACATTGAATGTAGTATATATATTGTGGGAGTTAAATTGCAGTGCTGCAGAGAAAATTTGCATCATGCCAAGCCATACTGGCTTCTAATCTTTTGAATGTTGTTAAGGGGAGATCCCCTGTACAACTGCCAACAGAGTCAGTGGGCATTTGAGATGAGTGGGGTTCCTGTTGAGATCTGTAATGAAAGAGCACTATTACAGACATGGTTGTCTAAGGTCATCAAGTATTCATTCAATCTTTAGTGAAACTAGTTGTCAAAGGAACCTGGCTCCTCCTTCCCTACTGAAGGTCATTCTTAGCTCTAGATGCAGACATTTGTGTTTGCCCACATCTTTTGCTATCACATTTCTTAAATTACAGTGGATTGTTTACAGAGCTCCGTAGTTTGCTGTTGATGATCATAGAATCATAGAATAGTTAGGGTTGGAAAGGACCTTAAGATCGTCAAGTTCCAACCCCCTGCCATATAGAAGCACTTCTGCAAGTAATATTACACAAGTATTTCTGTCTTAAAGTTAGCCCTTCAAAAGTTTGTAAAGTTGAAGATGAAAACTGATTTTTTTTCTTGTTTCCTATTGTCCTGGTGGAAAATTGTTACAAATTTACTATTTTAAGAAAAAATTAAGTTAGTTTTATTTGTAGCTTTAAATTTAAGTCTTGACAAACCATGTCATAAACTTGCATCTTCCCAGAAATACTTGTCCTAAATTACCCAGAAGGAAGGAGAAAATCCTTGATGTGGCTTCAAGTTTCACAAAGAAAAAAAAAAAAGGCAAGTATTTTGTTCTTTTTAGTTCGTTAGCAAACAGTGCATACATGTCTCACTAGTACATGCAAAGCGTGTCCTGAAGCAGTAATGCTTTCTGTTTCCAGAGGAAAGTTCTTTCTCCATCTAAGGGATAAAAATCTTTACTGATGATGTGGAAGGGTCAGTTGCGAGGAATTGCTGTCCTTGATTTTACTCTACTGAATAAAGGAGAACTGTTATTCTCTATATACCAAGTATCTGTATGACCACATTTCTGGATTACTTCTTTTTCCAAATAAAAATTTCCATAGCAAATCATTTGCGTAAATCATTGTGAGGGATTTGATTTGGAAGCCAAGGATTCATTAGTCTCCCCTTATGGTGATCCTTGTGTGCTTTCCTTGTTCACGTGTTATGATATCTCAGATTGCTGTGCTTTCATAGAGTGGCTTTCCAGAATGTTTTCTGAAATCTGTTCGTTTGTAATAAGTCTTCCTTCTTTGAAGCACAAAAGGAATTTCTGGAGACTCAGTTTTGGCATTTGTGTTTACCTTTGTCTTCCTGAGCTAAGTATTTCTTACTTAGCATTGTTGCTTGATGTTATTAGCCTGTGGCTATGCGTCAGTCTTACTTGTGAGTTTTGTTGTACAAGGGAATTAAATAACTTCTGGTTGTAAGAGACAGTCTGAAGTAGAGTTAAGGACTGTTATCTAGTATGTGATACAAAGCTGATGATGTCAAGCAGCAGAACTTACCCAGAGCAAGAAAAATGTCTTAGCATGGACACTATTTTCTTCTTCCAGTAGAAATATGACTGCTGGATTGTGCTCCACTTGATCAAAACCTCCTCATGTCTGCCACCACCCACGTGACCTCTTAGTGAGTTGCTAGATACAGTTCTGCATTGGATGGCATGTTTTTGTGTAGAAATTCCCTTGTTAATGAGAACACTGAATGTGCTGGTTTGATAAAATGCTTTTGTCAGCTGATACTCATTGTTTTCAACAGGAAATGTTTCTCTTCAGTATCATCTGTGACCTTCATTGTGCAATTAAGCAAATGGTTACATCTTCACCCAGCAGTAGAACCCATTTTGTTCAGTAAGTCTTCATACCCCTTTCCTAATATGCCTGGGCAGAGATTGAAAATCAGAGAGAAAATAATACCTAAAGTTGCAAGAGGGGTGGGGGTTGTACGTGTCAAATTTTGAGTGCCTAAAAATTGCCCTGAAATACCTGTACCACGAGACACAAAGTAAAGCCATGGCCACCTTTTGGAAAGAAATGTTGTACCTCCACACTTTATAATACTGTGAATCAGTGTTCTGCTGTTGGAAGAGACAATAGTGAAATGTGGTTTCCCATCTGAGAAACTTAATGATTTACTGCATAAAAGAGAACAGTGTTTACTTGCTTGGCAGTATCCTCCACAGTGAGTAAGAAATAGAAAGAGACTACTGTCAGGTTTTAAACCTTACATTTCAACTCAACATCTTAATTTCTTACTGTTCTTTATTGAGTTTCTGATTCTCCAACCTTATGTTTCTGGGTCCAGGGTTCTGATTTCTTTTAAGCTGGTTTCCTTGGTAGGTAAAGGATGTATTAGAGGGGTGCTGGTGTTCTTAAAATTGCAAAGCTTGTGCTGGGGAAGCTACACCTTCTCCCGTTTTAGTGAATTGAGTTCCAATCATTGTTCCTTTGTAGCCTGGGCTTTCTTCTTTTATACATCCCTCTTGGAAGTGTTACTCCCTCACAATATCCGGCCAAGTCATTTTTGCCTTGAAAAGCAAGATTTCTAGAGAATCTCAACTTCCCAGAAATTGTTGTTTATTCTTTGCCATCTTAATCAGCAGGAAATACAGTGCCTTAGGAGGAAAGCTGGATAACTATGGAATACTCCACTGATTCTCTGATCTGCACATAGCATTGTATCAAAGTTTGCATGTTACCTGTGAAGTGTCACTGTATGCTTGAGAGCAGCTATTGAGTTGAGCTGAGTTCTCCTGTCTTCCAAACTTGCATATAATGCTGGAAAGTGTGGCATATTGCCTAAGAGACAAATCTGGGGAGGGGGGGGATATTGTTGCCCTTTCTGATGGGGACACTGTATTGTCACATTACTCTGGTACTTGCTGGGGAATTGCTGAATCACATCTCTCTGTAACTCGTCAGCAGTATAGCTTTTCTTGCCTTTGCAACTAAAAATTTGCAGTGTGCCACCTGGCTGAAGTATCTTGTGCTGCCTCTGAAGTCAGATACATGGAAAATCAGCAAAGTATTCTGAAGCTATATGAACTCATAGAATCTTGTAGAATCATAGTCAGTGGACTTGGAAGGGACCTCTGGTGATCATCTGGTTCAACCTCCTTGCTTCTAGGACCAGTTGCCCAAGAGATCCTGTATGCTATTTGTGGTCTGGAGCCTACTGAGTTTAGTATTTGAGAGGTGGGTTGTGCAGAAATGCATGTGCTGTATGGGAACATGCATCAGTGTTATTCAGGAGAAAGGATTCCTCGTCACTTTTAATCTGGAATTTGGCACTATTACTAGATGCAATCAACATAACTCAGTCTTACATTATTTACAGATATTGTTAACAGGCCTACAGGTTTCAGAAGAGATCTTAATAAGAAGTGTTCAGAGTAACTTGTGAGAACAACTGAACAGTAAAGGAAGACAGTAAGCCTTTGTAGCAGCTAAGAATCTGTCTTCTGTACAGTACAGAGTTGTCCAGGAAATCCTGCTGCTCTTCTGATCCTCAAGGAATACTTAGACTGTGCTCTATAGACTCTCTGCGCTATAGATGAGAGCCTGATTCCTCTCTTACAGCACCTCTCTCTGTGTCTTATCCTTTCTAAGCTGGGCTTGAGCAACATATGTTGAGATTCTTGAACCTTTCATCACTTTGGAGCAATAAAGTTTGAATTTAACCTCTGCAGGCAGCTGATCTACAGGGAGGACCAGATGAGTATCAGGTGTCTTGCATCACTTTGTAGTAGATATGTTGAGGGAGCTCCAGAGGATATCTTCCATCTGGGCAATTACCCCTCCCCAGGACACCAAGCCTACAGTTTTGGATGAACTAAATGCTGGACTTTGCTGTGGTCATACACACAGCTGTCTGTAGAATCCCAAAATTAAGTCAGAACTGCCAGCACTCTTATTTCTGATGAGAACTTGTATCAAAATAATATGAAGTTAAAAGAAACAGTGGCAAATTGGTGGGGTTTTTTCTGCAATTTTGCAGGTAAAATTTAGGTCTCTGCTTCTTTCCTGACAACTTTTCTAAAAACCCTTGCAAGCAAACAGTGTTTTCATGCTCTCTTTCTCAGCTCCTGTCCTTTCATGACCCAGTTAAGTTTCACATGTTTTCGTGAAGCAAAGGACTACTTCCATTTTGCTGAGTGTGGAGACATGAAAAATCCTGTCTTGTAGAGCTGAAATTTAGCGTTTTTCCATTATTTAATCTTGTGACCTAGAACCATGCAGTACAACAAGGCCTAAGGCTGGATTCCCAGATGGAATCTGAGCATCTCTTGCTGATAGCATAGTTTGATGTCATTCCCTTTTCTTGTAGTGGGTTCTGGCTGAAATATGTTTACTGCAGCCCCTTTGGACAAGAGTGTTGTGTCTGCATTTAGCCAAATGTTAGAAGTAACATTTGTGGAAAAGCTGCAAAAATGAGTGAACTCTAGAGGAGCAAAAATTAAAGTCTTCTGTAATACACAGCTGTCTGAGACTAGAAGATTTGTGGCAGCAGTAGAAGTACATTGCTATACTGACTTACCAAAGGTGGGGAATTCAGTCATGTTCTTTACAGCGGCTCAGGGAGGAGACTGAGGCTGCACAGCAAGCATGTGACATTTTTACATAAAAGGGAGCTAAGTTTTTATAAGTACTGCTTAGTAACTTACCAAAAAGCAAGCAAGTTGAAAATTGTTGGTGACTTTATAAAATTAGGAGGAAAATGATTCTGATCATCGAACTGGTATTGAATACAAACCCTTTGTATTCATGCTGCTGCCTTTTTTGGGAAAGCACTGAGGTGAGGGACTTCTCACTTTGACTCC